TCTGTCCCGTTATCGCGATTTCTTCTGGGGTAAGTCGCATTGTCTGGCATTTGTTTTCGACAGTAACTATATTTTACGTGTTCTTTGACATTTATTGTCTGGCGTGGTCCAGGATCTATATGGCGCAGATTTAAGCTTCATCAAAGAGCCTATAGAGCCTAAAGAGCCGAAGAGCCCCATGCCTATAGTTAACGTCCACTTCGAAGCTTGACCTCATCGGCAACAACATCCTCAATATTTTGTGCGTGTCTTGCATCTCCCCAACGGCGGCCATGCAGGCAGCGCACTGTCATTATTACAGCGGCGAGTCGGGAGAAACAACGAACGTCCTGCAGCGCGGCCCGAGATCTGGGCCTGGAACTGGAACCCGGAGAGCCAGCGCCCGTCATGCCCAATGTAATCGGCCCCAGTAATGGCCACGCGCGCCCCACTAAGCCCCTAAAACCGAGCCGGTCAGCATAAAGTATGGCCGCCATCCACCCCCCAGATGACCATATTACAGGTTTTATGTTCGATTCGCTGCTAGCGAATCGGCCCTCTTATTGAAATTGCCAAATGTGCATTGATGTACGCGATCGGGGCTCCTTCATGGCCCAACTGGAGGCGTATTACACTTCTTGAGTGTCATATTTTACACAAGCTGTGGTCACTAGTGTTATTGGCTCCGATTCGGAGGCTCGTATTTCCGACAATGCAATCCGTATGTCGATGAATTTGGCTTTGATCGCGGCGTAACACGACTGAAAGCCGATTCATTCAGCGCCAGTCTGTCCGTCTTTAGGACAGCCGGTGAGCAGGCCATGAATATTTAACAGGCAATAGTCACCCCGGTCGTCCGCCGTTATCCGGTAAGGGCGGCGTAACTTGTCATCTTCTGCGCTTGGCTAAAGCGTGTTTTAGGTTCATGGGTACGGTGCATGACTCGGTGTCGATCCTTTGATTGATTGCAGAGCGTTATATACGCGGTCGGGGTAGCTCAGGTGTTTGATTAGGTCATCGATTGATTCAATAGGTTAACGTCCGGTTCTTTGAAAGTGCTTTACTTTTTGACGTCGCTCTGATTGCATAAGTTGCAGTAGGTACATCGCCATCGCGCGTATGTACCTATAATGAAGAAAAAGTTATCCTCGTTTCTTTAACGACAAAACACCTACACAACTTAACAACATTTATGTGGTCGATATTTGCCAGTTCAGTGTTGTCCGCTGTCCTGCTTTTTATTGATTCAACTGAGGCCTGTTTGGCGGGTATATACAGCTGTCAGTATACCGGGACCGGGCCGGGCGGACTTTTGGTCCGGCTGCGTGCCCCGCTCGGCCGATTCCGGGTCATGGCGTCTGTGTCACCCCGGGCGGTGGCTCGACATTCGCACTCCATGCCGCATCGATCAAACGCACCGGCACACTGCACCGCGGCAGTGGCCCGTCCGTCGGCGCACACGGCGCTGCCCCGGTGCACTGTGCCGCCGCCACACGGCACAAGATAAACAAGTAAACAGCGCTCGGGCGCGCGCGAGCGGCGAGTGTAAACAAGGCTTTTTGTAAACAGTCGGCGTCGACCGACGGAGCCGGGCACGGCCAAAAACAGACCCCAGACAGAGCGCGGAGGTCGGGCCGCGCGGTGGTGCGTCCGATCGTCCAACAGCAGCGTTCGAGTGAGGATCGAGTTGTGGTGCCGAGTGCACCGCTTTGAGGACGGACAGGAGTTGGGAGGACTGTCGAGGAGAGGAGAGGACTAGCAGCGAGTTTCGCTGAGGAAGAGCGGCGGCAGCGAGTGGAGCGGAGTTTCGGCGGTGAGTGATTCAGTCCCCAGCGCTGAGCAGGTTTGAATTGCGCTCAGATGTGGGCATGAAGGTCGGCTGATCCGCTGAACTGGTCGCGCCACGGCTGAATCCTTGTGTCAGGCCCGGCGGTGGGCCGATAGCGGTGAGCTACGTCTCCAGCCGCTGACAGTTGCCCGCTATCACCGCTCGCAATCTAAAAATATGCCCTGTTTTGTCTGTTGTACGTCCAACCAAGGTCCTGCGCCGGCCGGGCTTATCTTTCCGCAATTTCGGTAATTAACGGTAAATCGTACACATGTAATTATCTCTTAACTGATTGCCAACTGTAGCATGCCGCTGTTGGACCGTTCGCTAGCCCTCCTGTCCCCCCCTCCTCCGTACCCCCCCCCCCCTGCAGGTGACTGGAAACGAACGCCGACATATTTCGCTTTGTACCGGGACATATGTGATTAATTGCACAGACATTGTTTCGCATTGACCCTGAATGCCTTTCACTTCAAAGTTATTATGAGCCGACTCGCATGCTTTGGCGGTCGCTTGTTGATAACATATTGATCAGTATCGCCTGCTGAGATATTTGCAAATTAAGCCCAAACGGTCTGATACTCTTGAGCGCTTTCAAGCACGCCTCTTGTCTTCAGCTTAGCCCTTGCTTTGATCAACTTAGCTCATCGCCGCACTTCACGTATCAAGAGAATTACCCAACAGACATTCAACAATCTCACATTCCGTTCATTGCACAAACAGAAACACACTTCAACTCACCGTCCAAACAACATCATTAACCTTGACCGCGTCTCTGACCGCACAACAACCCTACTGCAACATCAGCTGCAACCAGAACTAGGCGACCTCCCCTCCATTTGACCTCCACCCCCTCCCCTCTCGGGATCCAGTCCTGGGACCGTCCCAGCTGTCCTCCACGTCTGGCGCTGCGCCAAGCCCCTGCGCCAGGGCCCTGGCGCCTCGCCAGCCCCGTGCGTGCGGACGCCGCCCGGCCCGTGCACGGCTCTTGTTGACTTGGTTGCGCCTGTTGACGTGATCGGGTGCGTGTTGACGACGGGAGCCGCCGCCGCGGTCCGATCGTTCCCGAGCGATCAACACCGCCGCAGCGGCGCCCGCACACCGAGCGACCGCTGTCGAGGTGACAGTGTTGCAACAGGACGAATGATGCATCAAAGGGTGCCGTAGGCTAGGTGGGAATGTCTTGAAAAACTTTGTAAAAGAAATAACCGTCGTTTTGTTCACGGTCGCTGACAGCGATGCCGGTTATTCAAGACGGCCATTCTACGTTTTAGCCACAGCGCGCATAGCTGCATCCGGGAGAGTCATGTGCGTGGTGTCATCAAATCGTCATCAAAGCCCGCTGTGTGGGGAGGAGCCGTCAGTACACCCCGCTCTGCGCTCGGCCGGACGGTTGGCTGCTACATCGGCTCACCCCCGCCAGACAATGGATCGCGATCCGCCAGCGTAACGGTGACTTTTACGACGCCCGTTTAGACTCGGTGTGAATTTGTGAGCGGCGTGCTCGGGTCATCAGAGTCGGCCTTTGATGATGCCCTGCGGACAGCCTCATGAGCACCGTGCTGAGATCTCGTGGCCGACATGCACGGGTCTCGTCTCTTTTGGCTACGAGAATAGAAAGTTGCGAGCGTGTAGATACTGGAGTTTCTACTGACTACTCAATGCAAACGAGTTGCGTACCTCTTTACGAGTAGCTAGCTCTATATCGAATATCGATTCGTGGCTCAGTGCCGCGTTGTGGCGCACCACAGCAGTCGATCTGACCGCGGTTGCACAAGACTGTTTGTCGCGCGACGTTCGAGGCGGCTGGCGCTCACTGTTGTTGATGCAACGCCGCTCTGTTTTATTCTCGGCGCGGCGCGGTCTTGTTTGTCAAATGCCGGCGCCGCCGCCGCTGCACCGACTGAGTTGTTTGTTGGACTCCGCCCTCGCCGCGGATTGCAGAGAAAACATCCGCTCTCCGTCCGTCGTCATCAGTTTCTCCTCGCACCCACCCCGCCCCCGCACCGCGCAGCTCACGCGAACCGGCTGTTTACCCTCTCTTGCCAATGTCACGGCTGCCGCGCGTTCTCGTGACGACCTGCGTGACGTGACGCGCCCGTGCCGACTCCGTGGCTCCGTCCACTTCCGGTTCACGGCCGGACCTTGGTCCCCGATCGATCCCGGCGTGACTTGACGCTGTCCCTGATGTCATGAGGCGTCCGTCGCCGCCGCCTCGGGCGAGGTGTTTATTCAACGGCGATGGCGCGGCAAGGCACTCGACTTGCCCTCGACGCGTCCACCGCCCACGAAACAGACGTCAGGCGTGCGACGCTGGCGTGGATTTGATAGCGAGAAAAAGCTGGCGAGACAGTGAATCAGAGTCTCAATTCGACGTAAGGAGACAGTCAGTAACTCGTTTGGACACATTGTTTCAGGCTGATCGGTGCATGATATGTCATGTGGCGTATCGTAAAAATACTACGCCACGTCTTGCAACTCGAGGCGACGGTTCCAGCTCAGATTGTCTGGCCGGGCCGTGACGTGGCGTGTGACGTCATCCCGGTGACGTCATCGTTACTACGACCGGCGGCGGCGGCGGTACAATCAGGTCCGAGTGGCTGTGCCGGCCGGCAGTGCGGCAGGCCGCCTCGGCGGAACATGGTCGCTGTCTCATTGCAAATGCATGATGCACATGAGCCCTACTGCCGCACTGCCGGGCATTCCGGATGGCCTGCGACCTTGAGTCGACAAGACGGCGATACTTGCAGAGCGAAACAGTCGACTGCGTTTCGACTCTCACTAAAATACAGCGACTGAGTGAGTGACAGTCGGCTCGCCATTGAGTTCGTGACGTGACACGGCCGGCCGTCATACTTCCTGACGGGCCGCTCCGCGAGCGATGATCGATCGCGTCATGTTCAGGGAGCGATTTGTCATGCATGGCGACCTGCCGCACCAGGCTATTTCTCCGCGACGCCGGCCCGACGGACTTTATCGGCAGCGGTGCCGCTGGGGACGACCTCACTTCATTGTCTAACCGAGCGGAATCCGTGATGGTATGTGGGGCTCCTGGGCTTCCTGCATCGGCAATAGTTGACTGAAGTAGCTTACCGGCTTATGATGAAACTGTAACTACGCCTTTGGTGAAAGGTGATTGAATAGGCGGCTATTCAGTGTCAATTAACTGACGGATTTGTTTCTCCCTCCACAGACGAGCTCAGTGATTCGCGTCGCCAGCAGCCTGGCCTCGGAGCACGCGCCGTCACCGCTGACCATCAAGAGTCATGAATCGCTCACCGGTTCGTCCCCGATGATGGTACCGCACGGCCTTCAGCACATGCAGCATCTGATTCAGCAGCACCTCAGCCCAGCGCAGTTCCAGAACTTCTTCCAGCAGCAGGGGCTGCTGATGCAACAGCAGGTGTGTGGAATTCGGAACGACGTCAACTAATATGGAAAATTGACGCATTAATGTCATCGTAACGGCAAACATTTGGCTTTCCCCTCGCCGCGTACATATTTTCATAATCCACCGTTTCGTCGAGAAGTGCGCCCGAGTCGTAATTCTGTGTTCTGTGACGCAGATGATTGTTTAGAATGCGTCATTGTGGTGGCATATGTTGAATGTTGCATTCTGCTGTCGTCACAGTCCGTTTCTGGAAGCCGGCGTGGGTGGCTCATGCCGCTGCGGGGGCGGAGTCGAGGTCTGACCCCGTGGAATTTCCTCTGTCTATTGCAGCAGCACCATCAGTTGGCCGAGATCAACAAGAAACAGCTCGAGGACGGCGTGCGACAGCTGCAGGAGCAGCTTCAGCTCATCATGTACCAGCAGAACCAGGTGAGAATCGCCCCGACGGCAACGGCGACTCACCCCTCCACCCGACCCAGCCTCGTCGGAACCCCGAGCCTTCCGACGCGCCAGCCAAATCACCCCCTAGCCGCCCCCCCCCCCCCCCGCCCCCTCCTACCGCTGGCCAACTCGGTGACAGAAGCGCCAATTAGTGCTAAACAGGCCGGTCAACTACCCTGCAAACCGTTTGTAGGCACGGCAAAATCAAGTTTATCAACTCTTTCAACATCCGTTGTTCGGCGAACTCCGCCCCCTGACTGGCGGGCGGTGGGCAGCCCAGCCCAGCAGTGGGCGACGGTCGGCGGCGGCGATTCGGCTCGCTAATTCGGGCTTGTTTCAGGCGTCATGGCCAGTTTGCCATTATGACGGAGACCATCTTCTCACTGCTAGCGTCCCGTATATCTCGGCCGCCGCCGGCCCGTTAGTCCGACACTCCGTTAGGCTGTTAGCCCTTTAGGCCGTTTCCGCCGTGGGGCTGGCCAGCTGGGGAATGGCTAAGACGCCGCACCTGTTTCTGGCGTGGCTGCTTCGAGTGCAGTTATAATAGGTGATCCGCCGCGCCTCACACAGAGCTGTGAGCCATGGTGATGCCCCAACTGGAACACTTTCGCCTCGGCTGGGGTACTCTCTGCTGGGGATATACCCAGGGCCTCTCGATATACAATTTCTCTCACCTTTCACCGTATTCTGAAAGGCCATAAGGCAGCCTGTCGTGCTAGGGCAGCCCTGACCTTATTCCGCTACATTCTTACCTTATCCAATCACATTATCCCACTGAATTTACTTACTATCCCGCTCATCTCCTATCTCCTTCTCTCGCCCCAGATCGCCTCTCACCGCTTGTTCTCGTGTTTTCAGGCCGTGCACGACAAGAGCAAGTCAGCGGCGCTGTCGCTGCACCAGTCGCAGCTGATGCAGCAGCTTCAGCTGCTCCAGCAGCGCTATCTGCTGCAGCAGGCCGGCATGGGCCAGCCGGGCGCACCAGCAGGTTAGTCGCAATATACACTCACCTAATACCGGTAAAAACGTATACGGTAGTCACCACAGCCCAATGCATCACTCGTTTTTAGGACTACGATGCGCACCAAGTCAGCCAGTATAGAGGTTGCAAACGGTTTACGACCGACATGTCAGCCCTTTAGTATCGGCTTTTGTCAACCGTGTCCTTTGAAGACTGACCTATCTAACCATTTTTTGGTTACCCGCTCCATCGTCATCCGTTTTATGACCGTGTCATATACAACCCGCCATGCATTGATGTACGACGGTTAGCAGTTAGCACCGAACTTAGCACGCATTGCGACATGTTGCCAAGTACGGCAGCAGTGTTGCATACGCTCACACCTTCCGCGAGTCGCGATCGTTTACTGTTGACCTCGACTGACACATCGTTAGTCGAGCTGAGCCTAGCTCTAATTCGGCCGGGCTGGATTAACTCGCTGCAGCCGTGTTACATCGACGCCAGATACGTAGCCTGCTCGCCTGCTCGCCCATAACCGCCGCGGCATTAAAGCATCATGTGTTTCCGTCGGGCTGCATCGCGGTGTATTACAGCCAGGTGGACGACCCCTTCCCCTCCCCACGGGCCCCACCTGATGAAATTGTTTCTTCGAACAACATAGCCGCGCCACGGGAGGGCCATGAAACCACATAATGTGTGCAAACGCGCCGGCATCGCTGCAAACCGCCGAGGGGGCCATCAGAGGCGATAAAGGCCGTGGCGCACAGGGGCGTGCCACAAGGCGGCTCGGGCCTGTGCCACGAGTCAGCGAGGTGCGGCTCTCGTGCCGTGCGACCATGTCCACTGGCTTCTCGGTGACGCCCGCTGCTTAGCAGCTTCAGCGAACCGTTGACCGTGCCAGCTGCTCGGATAATCTCGCTCAAACCATGCCGCTACGGCAGCCGTGTGACCGCACGTCGAGCTGGATCGATCTTCGCTCGAGTGGCGCCCGGGGCGTGCACGTGAATCACGTGCAGGCACGTGGCGGATGTTGACACTGCGCGAGTTGCAGCGCCCATGGCCGCTGGCCGCTTCTCCCCGCTCGCCGCCGGCGGCGGAGGTCGGTTGCACGATTGATTTTCTGGCCGCAGCAGCGAGCGGCGAGCGGCGTGGCGTGGCTCGCCTCCGAATGAGCGGGCTTCCCGTCAGCGTGTGTTGGGAGACGGCTCATGGGTTTCCCGGCCCCGCCCCGGCGCGGCACGTCAAGAGCCGGAGCTGCTGGTGTCCGTCTCAGACGGCTAGCTGCACTGCGCCGCGCTGTGATGGCTCCAGGCTGTGTGTGGGTGTCGGTGAGGAGTCATATCGTCCTGGAAGACTACCGGCTCCACATGGAGCGTGTCTTGATGAAGAGTTCACTAAGCCGTATTAGGCTAATGACCAGATGCGACATAGTCGTCGGCGTTTCATTCATTCATTCATTCATTCATTCAATCATGTGGTTATTTATTCATTCATTGATTGGGCCTTTCTATTTCAAAGTTTAATTTTTTAGCTGTTCCTTGTATGTCATTATCATTCAACCTGAAGTGTTTTCGTGTTTACTGGGGCTTTCCCTCTTTAATCGATACCAAACACTGCTGGCAGCTTTTGTTGTTTGCCGTATCCGTGCTTCGTAACACTGACTGGAAGTTGATGTTAATCGGTCCAAGAAGCACAGTCCGCGCTCGGTTAGCCAAATCGATACGAGTTCACGTTAAAGTGCCAATTACCGGGTGTTCATCACTCGAGGCAAATAACTGGACCGCTTGGTACGCACTGGCCCCGCGCGCTGCTGGATTGGAACTAGCCTTCCGCCTCACTGCGGTGGTCCACTTCAAACGAGGCGCTCTGAAAAAGATCGGCGCAAAATGGCTGATACGTGTGACGATAGCTCGTTATGGGCTCGCGTGCTCCATTTTTACGGGCTATGTCGTAAAACTTTCCGATGCCATCGCTAAACAACGTTTGCATTGAACGCGTACCGGGCTGTCAAGCTTCAGGCTTAATTGGTCGTGTTTCGTCGTACAAAACTGTGACCTTATTTGGCCGTCGTCTCAGTCATCTGCTGAGTCTTATTTCTGCTAAATAGACCGTTCTTCACTTCAGCGCACGACCAGTCATGGGCCAGAAGGGGGCTCGGCGGCGCGGCGGCCGGCGCAGTTTTATGTGGTTTACTCTGTCTGGACGACGTCGCGTCTTGTTTGCTCTGCGGCTCGGTGTGGTCAAAAGTCGGGGCTGCGAGTGACGTCATCTCGTTACCGGGTGCCACCGGTGACGATCACGTGACTCACGGCACTGTGACGCGCCGGGCGGCGGGCGGGTCACGTGTCAGCCGGCGCTGTGACGGACAGGCCCGGCGGCTGACCTCGTGTCGGCGAGGGGCTGGGCCGGGCGGCTCTGACGGGGGGCGGGGACGGGTGGCTCGTTTTCATGTGAGCTGGTTTGTGATGAGCGACTCGGAGCGTCTGGCTGGCCGTGAACAGGGCCAAGGTCGTTTCACCGTAACGGTGGAGATTCTAGCGGTACGAACCGGCACGCGAGTTTCCCGCACGGCGGCTTAGTTTTCACGACACCAGATTTGTCTGCCTAGTCGGTAAGACTCCGACAGGATGCCCGAAACATCCTTCTTCCTAACTACGTTTCAATTTCATTTCCTTCACCCTTCTTATCCGCTCCCGGCCCGATCTGACCCCATCTGACCTCTGCCGACAGGTGTGGCCACCAGTGAGGCGAGCGGCCCGCCATGGGAGCAGAGCTCCGAGCGGCGGCCCGAGGCGCCCTCACCACCCGCCAGCAGCCTGTCACCTCCCGTGGCGCCGCCGCCGCCGCCGCCACTCGTCAACGGTCGCCGCTCCGATCTGCGCGCTGACCTGCGCAACGGCGTCGACGAGGAGCGCTCGACCGACGACGACGACCTGGCGGCCAAGACCAGTCCGCTCTTCTCCAACGGCATCTGCAACTGGCCCGGCTGCGAGGCGCCCTGCGAGGATATGGCCGCCTTCCTCAAGTAAGACTTCGTGTTTATGTGGTGTATGCAGATAGCGGTAAATGGTTTTGGTCAGTTTATTGTGTCGGAAAAGGAAAGGCCATTCTATTCTTATGCGGTCCTGTTTGTTGGATTTCGGTAAATTATGGAACGTTAAAGACTAACTAACCGCGAAAATTTATCGTTATTTAAATCGGAAATGCCTACCTGAGTGAGTCATTGAGCGATTACATACAAGGCCGTCGGCACTTCCTCAACGAATTAAGTCACCTCAGCAGTGGTTAATATCCTTGTGCGCTCTGCAAGCCAACACGCGGTGCAACAAATAATGCCGCACCGGTAGGCAAGCCCCAGAACACGACTGAAATATAAAATATTTATCTATGAATAACTTGCCAGTGGCCGAAACCATGTGAATTGTGAACATTTATGCCCGTTCCCATAACTGTTTTAGTAAGCCGTCATGGAAAATATCTCGTTTTTTTTATGAGCGCAACAATGTTACAAAGACAGATCATTGTCCAAACAGTTATGTTTTGTTTTTGTGCTGCTTTGTCTGCGTGCTGCAATTTCTCAATGCGAGGAAAATGAGGACAAGTTACCGTATATCTGCAGAACAGCTCTTAAAATCCATCCTACTGGACTCAGCTGTGTCTCCAAAATATACTTCCGACTCCCCCTCGACCAACCTGTCCTCATGTTCTGTTCGCCGTTTCGGGCGATATTTTCTGTCTAGCCACTGCGTGACAAAGACCTGCAGCACCTACTGCCGCTGTCTGCACCCCCACATTAACATCCTATCTGTCCCCGACAGGCACCTCAACACCGACCACGTGCTGGACGACCGCTCGGCGGCGCACGCGCGCGTCCAGGTGCAGGTGGTACAGCAGATGGAGAACAACCTGGCCAAGGAGAAGGCCCGCCTAGCCGCCATGATGGCTCACTTCCACATGGCCAGGGAGAAGATGGCGGAGCCCCCTCTGCCCGAGCCACCGGTAAGTTTTTCAAACTCTGCAGACTTTTGAACACCCTCGTTATCTGGTGTTTAGAACTGCGATATTTGCGTCTGGGTAAGACCGAAAGCGTCATCACTCCGTTTGAGATGCGCCATATAAGCTGGATGACGTTCGTAATCAGCAGCTGTGCTGACGTTACCTGCGTCAAGATCGGTATCAGGAGCACGTGTTTTAACGCAGTTGAGAAAAATGGGACGGGTTGCTGATACGCCGCAATGCATGAGATCAAAGATACCCCGCCGCTGTGTCGTTTTACCGATGTTGCCTGTTGATTTGTCCCTATTTTGACGTTTCATTCCATCCTTCTTCGCTTCACTTTACTTAAATGCATTTTTCTTCCACATGTTCTCTTTGTCTGTATTTTCATATCTCCATACTTTTACTTTTCATACCCACACTTGACTCCACCGTTCAACCTTTGACCTTCACGCTCGCCCTCTGCGTTCTCAGGTTGTATCCACCCACCCGAAGGTGTCAGCCTCGGTGTTCCCGTCTACCGCCCCGGCTAGCCAGCTGCTGTCCGGCCACCCGTTCCTGCGCTCAGCTATCCTGCAGGGAGGTGCTCCCCCAGTCGCCTCCACGGCCAGCGCAGTCGGCCCGGTGCGCCGTCGAGCCAACGACAAGAGCCTCACGCCAGGTGAGCGGACGAGGGTTGCCAGCCGCGGGATCCCCTCAGAGGGAGTGGGAAGGCATTGTTCGACGTGGTGTGGAACGTCCCGTGGGAGTTTACGGGAGATCTGAGGTTATTTGCATAGGTTTTGACGTAGATGCATGTGTAATGCGGTAGAGAAGGGGGAGGCTGTTCCAGGTGCTGCGTTTTGGGGATGGTGGGCTTGAAGCCAAGTCAACAAGCCAAACATGTGTCTATGGATAAGTTATTGATGTTTCCGTGTGAAAACTCTAACGTGTCGGTGATTTAAGCGCTGTGTCACGCTTGGATACCAGTGCCTTAGTATCGCTGGGAAAATGGAAAAGAACGGGCTGTTCCCATTCATATAATTCGGCCGTCAAATTCAATAGGTCGTATAATACAAATGGTTATTTTGCACGGAATTATTTATGCGGAAGAAGGACCAGACTCCCCAAAATGCACCGTGCTTTTCAAGGATTTCCTTTGGAAAAGGCGTGACAAATCAAAGATAAATTTAGGGTAGTGTAACGCCTAGGCGTCTGGCCATGTGTGTGCTCAGTTTCAAGGCCACTTTACCCGCAACTGACCTGACCTGACCTCTGTGCCCCCAGGCCCGTATGATGAGGCGCCGACACAGACCCAGAGACGGCGTGTGGCCGAGAGGGCCGGCCAGGATATCACAGAGGGTAAGAAACAAACATAATCCCCCACACATTTCAATCCCCAGAGATTGAACTTGAACCCTGGTGGTTGTTTTCTTCACCTGTGAGCCGACTATTTTAGCTGAACGAGAAAGAAATCTGGCTTAGAGTGGAGCGTTGAGACTCCTAAACAGACCAAACTTCCGGCTTGCGACGAAAGTTGGGATTGCGTTTATGTAAAAGAGACAGAAGAATGAATTAACTTGAAGGCTGCCGCATTGTGAGATAACGGCTATTATGTTTCGTCTGCGAGCCTTATCGTCTGAATGGCTTAAAATTCACGCGTAGTGTTACGCTCTAACGCACTTGATTTGAGAATGTTTGAGTGTTTTATTTCTCAGCTTTACATATACGTAGGCGTCCCGACCGTTTTAATTGATTAGCTCGTCATCTTTTTGCCGGGATGCATTGCCAGGTAGTGTTGTTTTCCGTTAGCTAACGGGCCGTTGTATTTCCGCAGAGCTGTCCAGAAACCGGGAGTTTTACCGTACCACAGACATTCGGCCGCCCTTCACATACGCCTCGCTGATTCGTCAGGTGAGTCTCGGCCTTCCCCGGGCTGCAACAAGCCTGCGGTTGCACTGCAAACAAACTATCTATTCAATCATCATGCAATCATTATTTCTGAGTCGATAACCAGCCATGAAATCATGTATTTCCTGTTTTATTTGTCTGTGCAGGGATTTGTGGTAGTTTGTTGTGGCAATTTCCTGACATGTGTTGTTCGTTACAGGCTATTGTCGAGTCCCCGGACAAGCAGCTTACCCTGAATGAGATCTACAGCTGGTTCCAGAGCACGTTTGCATACTTCCGCCGCAATGCCGCCACGTGGAAGGTACGTGGACGATGTGATTCACGTGGCGTGGCGATCGTCGTCGTCATAAGCGCGGGTTTTGGGTTATGCAACCCTGTTGATTCACCGCCTTGTTGACTGTCTGACACTGTGGTGTTTACGGTTTCAGGTACTGCAGTTTGCGTCACCCGCTTGGCATACGCTGTTACGGAAAGATGCTCGTCATACCGTGACAAATGCCATTCGGTCGAAGTTTTGTGTGCTGTCCAACTCATGCGCATTATTAGCTGAAACGTAAAAAGCAACCCCGTCGGCTGACGTCACTTCTTCGCGTTTATCCACCGCCTGTGTTTTTGTTTGCAGAACGCCGTCAGACACAACCTTTCCTTGCACAAGTGCTTCACCCGCGTGGAGAATGTCAAGGGGGCTGTGTGGACGGTGGACGAGGTGGAATTCTGCAAACGGCGCCCGCAGAGATCGGCTGGGTAAGTTCACGGTTTTTCCAGACACCTGGCGATTGACCTTTGTACTGATAGTTTTGTAAGCCGCCACCAGGTGGCTAGATTTGGTACTTTTTCTTTCTGTACACACGTTTGCCCGATATGGGCAAATGCCTTGTTTACAGTGAAATGCTTCTATATTGTATCAATTCACGTAGCTGCTGAGGTATGGGACGCATTTGCGTAAGTTACGTTCATCTGAACCGGTCGAAATGGCACCCTCAGCTAACCCTCCTTCGTTCTGACATTACAGACAGACACGCAGTCCGACACTGTCCAACAGTCCCACCCTGTACGGAGACACCATCAGCTCTGGTCTGCAGTCAGCGCTGGTCGACTCCAACCTGCCCTTCATGGCCAACGCCGCCGAGCGGCTGCGCGAGATGCGTGAGCGGGACGCACCCACGCTGCTGGGCCTACAGCGGCGCTCCGCCAGTCCGCCGTCCCTAGTGGCGGCTCGGCACCGACCGGCCAGCGGCAGCCCCGAGCTTCGGCTGCCCGTCACCAGCCTGCTCAACGACACACCGCACGCGCCCCAGCCGCCCCCGGCCGGCCAGCACACCGAGTACACCGACAACCCGCGGACCCCCGAGTCGCGCGACGGTGGCGCCAGCCGCGACGCTGTGGCCGAGAACGGAAACAACGGCGCTGAGGTGGGTACAGTGACTGGCCTGGAAAAGTTTTGTTTGGTTAATTAAGATTCAATTCAGTGCTCGTATTTATCGATATTTTATTCGTATTCAGTGCGAAAATATCGGTTATCTAGTAGTTCATCTACTGAAAGGTGCTTGATAATTAATTAAAAAGACCGCCTTTTCGCTTTCAGCATTCGTCATTTTCTGTATAGTTGTCTTGACACATCTTTATTTCTTCACAGGACCTGAGCATGCCGGCGGTGAAGATGGAGTACACTGAGAGCAACCAGTCCATGGAGGCGGCCAGCGCGTGAAGAGGTTACCTCAGCCCGCTGAACAGATTTATGGCGAAGGATGCGCCGTTACCACCTGTGAAACGCCACCTCTGAGAGAAGACTGAACGCCTGCCACTGCCGGGACGGCCAACTGGAGGCGCCATGGACGCTGGCTATGTGTACAGAAAGAGAGAGAATCTAGCAGCGGGCAGCCGGGCCTCATCAAGCGCTGGCCCGCCGCAGGGGCCGGCCGGCGTCTCCGTTATACAGTGGGGCGCCGGCCGGCCAGGCCCATTGTAGAGGCCACAGACCTTGAGAGGGACATATGACGGCCTCATTTACAGCCGCCGATGTGTTTGGCGGCGGCGGTAACGCGAGAGAGAGGGCAGCCCCAGCCCGGCCGTTTTTTGTACCTGTGAATATTTTTTGCACGTACCTGTGTACATGTTGTGCATAGTTGTCAAACCTCATCCTACGGGTTTTGTTGCCGCGCGCGCAGTGTGTGCGCGCGGCACATCCGCCGCCGGCGACGCGTGCGCGCTCTCACACCAGTTCTCACCCTGTCCCGGTCCGCTGGCCGAGCGGAGGCGAGACTCACAGCAATAGTTCCCTATAGTACAGCCAGTACAAAAGCGCTGCGCGTGCCGCCCGCGGCCGTGTCGATCTCTGGTCAGTTCTGCGCGGACTGCCGCCACATGCTCCAGTGCAACTCCATAAATGTGGGCGCCGTGTTTTGTACGGCTCGAGCGCTGCCAGCCGGCCGGCCGAGCGCCGCGCCGACCGTGTGTGACGTCACACAGCTCTGTCTGTCTGTCTGTGTGTCTGTGTGTCTGTGTGTGAGAGTGACATCCAACCGGTGACGGCCCGAGGCACGCGCCCGCTCTGAGCTTAGGTCGGCGCGCCTCCGCCGGCCTGCGAGTGACAGAGAGGCGGCCGGGGCTGCGGGGTATGGCGGTCTGACCGCTCCAAGTCCGACGACGGAATCAGGGATGATGAATCGGGTTACACGCTCTGGCGCCGCAGCGGCCAGCATCCGCAAATTCTAGAGGGAGAGAGAGGTGGTGCGTTTCCGTTCGGCGCCGAGATGTTCATTGTTCATTTGCATCAGTAATTTATTTAGTTGCCGCGTGTAGCGTTTGTGTCGATGTAGCGCCTTTGCAGCGAAGCTACCCTGAACAACTCTGTGTCCTCACATTCCTAGCTCGGCGTGGCGTTGCGCGAAGAGTGTTGGTTGAACCGTCTGTTCCCCGAATCGGCCGGATTCGCCGGTGGCTCGCGCTGGGGCGCGGCGGCGCGCGCGTTTTGTTTTACCTTCCTACTGGCGGCGTCTGTTCAATGTCTCCCCCGATCTGTTATCGACGCTTAGTCGATTGATGGTGCTTCACCTTGACATATTGTTAGACTCGTCTCCAAGGACCATCTACATACAGCCAAACACAATCAAAACCGCGTGCTCGTTAGGTCCTGCTGTGTGCCGCCCGCGATATCCATAGCACGAGCAATAACGGATGGCATTGTCGGCGCCGGCCGGGTGGGTATTGCTGCTCGCTCGGGCAGCGGATTGTTTGGGAGGTGCGCGCGGCGCGCCCGCCCGCTGCGCCTGGATGTGTGGGTGGTCGTTAGGAAGGAGATGCAGTGCTCCATATCAGCCGGCCCGTAGTCAGCTGGATTCAGTAGACAATAAACGCTTCTCCCTCCATAGCTGACGAGTTTGGACGGGGCTGGACAGCGGAGACGGTGGCGATGGGGTAAACGGTGGGTCGACATGCGCCGGTTTATTGAATTACAGCGGACAACGCTATAGACAATGAACACAATATTTATTCATGTAGACATGTTACTGGCTAGAAAATACAACATAGACATTTAGAAGCTGGAAGCCTCACCTTAACATCAACTTAGAACATATACGAGCATGACTAATCGTCGTTAAAACGATAATTATCATTCACATTTCGTTATTCGCATAAATTGAAGAGACATATTTCCTCGAAGCTGCAAATAAACCGACTAAATTTAATGTTGCTCGAATTTATATCGTTTGATATACTTTGTTTCGACCAAAAGGACAATGTCGCAAAGATAATTACAATAGTGCAAGGGCAATCATTATGGCTCAATAACGTAAACCACAAATAGCTTTATTGCTTCATTTAAATATGCAGCTTCTGAACTTCCCTGTTGCACACATATCCATCCTCACACACCTTATTGCTGCACCGTTGCCCAAGCTCTCCTTTCCTGTTTCGCCACACGTCTAGCTTCAGCTCTGTCACCGTTGACAAAACACTGACACGACCTGTCACCTGGGGTCACCGAAAGGTCACCTGAGGTCACCGGAAAGTCAGAGCACCAACTGCGTCTGACCGTCCGTCGGCGCTTCCGTGGTGTAGAAACAGCACTTTGGGTAGCAGAACATGGCGGCGCCGGCGCAGCGGCACTCCAGACACCCGTCCGATGCTGCCTCTGTCGGGGAGAGGGTGGCCGGGGTCACATATGGGTCATCTATAATTAACCAGACAGCTGGCAACAAGTGTGTAAGGGCATAAACGTCTGACATATAGGTAACGTGTAGGTAACATAAAGCCGAATGACCATTGACCGTATTACGGCTACGCATCACTAGATAAAAAATTATAAATAAACTTATGCCGTCTTACCTAAACCCGTATTTATCCATAAATCGTAGTTACATGTAAACGTTTATGCATATAAACATAACGAATAATGAGGGCCGTATAATGTAAGCCGTGTAACGTAGCTTTATCATTACCTTTCTTTGAAGTTTGAAGTGTACCTATATCTAACCAAAAATGTAAAGATGGATAAAAAATAAATATTTTCATTGAAACAAAATAAATTAAAAGCACCTTGATGGTTTGAAACGTCATCAACCGTCTACACGTAGCCTGTATAAGTGTAAAATATGCATCCACTCACATGCCCTATTCGTGGCGGATGGGAAGGGAACTGAAGAACTGCCCTGCAGAGACAACAAAATGTCCTGCGGCGCTTATTGACAGCCCTGTCTGAATTAGGATGTCTGGACATGTCGGAAGTGTCGAAACTTTGACCGTAAATGACAGAGATTATGACAGCGGTGACGGCAGCTAAACTGTCGCATCATAACTCTTGCAACGGAGTGCAGTTATTTACCTCGCCATAAATCGGTACGGTAATGTATTATCTCCCGGCGAGTAGCGGAGTAAACTCGTCAAAGGCTGCAACTTTGACGGAAGTGTTCGTTGAACTGCAATGACAGCGGTTCGGGTCCGGGCCTGCTATCGTCTTTAACTTTTTATACGGGCGAAATAAAACGGACTACATACCTAACAGCAGTAGTAGGTACGCCTTTTTGCGATGAGAACATAACTACCTAGGGGCTGAGGCACAGGGTTTAACGCTTCTTGCGCTGGAACCGCATCTTTTCGGCACCCACACTTCTACTGTATTCAGGATAAGGCTCTCACCCTTGAACGGGACATTACGTGGAAACTGATACCACAGTGTCGAGGGTGCTCCTGGGGTTTATCAACGGGTCAGGTCAGGTCAACTGACAAGGTCAGAACACAATGGAGCACGTCACTGAATGGCCTCCCTCAAAGTGAGACGGCACCTGCATGGTCCGACATGCATGCATACATGTACCCTGCCGGTCATGGAACCTCCAAGGACAAAGAGGAGCCAGAGCGTTAGTCCGCACCATTTTGCAACATGACGCGTACCTAGTAAACTCGCGGAGCATAATGGCATGGCCTGGAGGCTGTGTGCGAATATACATTGGTCTGAGAGAGTCGTGAAGTGGAGCATCGTGACGTCGTTTTCGAAGTCAAGGTGCGCTCCCGCTGAGGTGGTCGACTGCGCACTCACGCGCTATGAAAGATGGCTGTTCAGAGCGTTCCCATTTGTTAGTTTGTTGTTCAGTATTGTAGTCTCCTGTATTGTAAGACGGCGCACGGAGACGTCTGATAGGTATATGCAAAAAGCCGTAAACGTCGCCATTGGTCACAAACAACTGAAATAAGCGAACCGTATACTGCGAAGGCAGCAGCTTAATAGCAGCTAATAGTTAATCATCTCTCCTGTCGACCCACATAGCCCTATAATTATCTGCAAAGTGCCCATCACGAAACGGGAGGTAAACAGTAGCGATGAGAGGCGCAGACCTGTCGACCTTCGTCAAAGCACACCAAGCCTCTGTCTCACAAGCATTCAAAGTGAGTGAGTGAGAGGAGAGAGAGAGAGAGAGAGAGAGAGAGAGAGAGAGAGAGAGAGAGAGAGAGAGAGAGAGAGAGAGAGAGAGAGAGACGTGCCATGCCCTCCACCCATCCATCGCCTCGCCACCGTATACCGCCCTATCGCAACAGCCACCGCCGCTACCACCGGCGTCACAACCACAGAGTTCACAGAGGATGGGCGGGGATGCCTTGAATGACGTCGTAATTTGTATGAACGGCTTGAATGGAAGTGACGGCAGCTGCGGGCTGCGGCGGCGGTTGTGGTATAGCTTTGACGGTGGGCGGCGGCGCAGACGGGTGAACGCAATGGTGGGAATGTGTCTGCCCGCGGCGTTAGCCCCGTTATAATGGCAGGTCGCACCGTGCGAAGGTCAGAGGTCAAGAGATGTAGCTCAGCCGAGTTCGTGACAGTTGGCCCACTGAGAGCGGCAGGGCACACGCCGCGGCGCCGGGCGTGCTTCGTCACCGGCCGTCTCGTAACTGCGCCATTGCAGGCCGGCCAGGGACGTCTAATTGCGTACAGAAACGCGTCTCGCAATGGCTGTTATGGCCGGGCCGGAATGTGCATCGGATCGTTCGCAGGACCTTTACATTTAATTTGACTTTTGTGGAACCACACCTGATGTGCGTAAAATGAATAAAGATTCATGCCTGATCCGATGAAATTATATAGATGTGGTCGAATTATTGCAACTGCCTTTTTTAAATGGCTAAAGTGAGTATAACCTTAATTAGGTATATCATTATTTGATAATGTAGCGTAGCAATTCATTGAATCGAAAGTTTAGAAATATTTAATTCCTGACGTTTTATTTGATAATGATTAGCTCATATTCGGGCATTGAGACGGTCTTTTATGTTTGGACCATTGGGTATTTAATTAATAATTGCCAGCTCTTTTGCCGGCTGAGCTGCGATATTATTTAAGCGTTGATGCACACACAACACACCTATGTATGGACATAGATCTTTGGTGCATGCATATATACCTACTTAGGTATATGTGCACATGAGTGCTTCCATGCACTAATGTAGGTATCTATGCATATTGCATGCATGTCTTATGTTCCTGTCATAAACGGGTTCTATATCTCGGACAATTATATTTGCAGGGCGTTATATAAATGTTGCTTGTAATTGATTACTTCTAGCATTCGTAATTCGTATAATGCTCAAAAACTATAAACGATGTTCTAGACATGCTATTACAAAATGATACATATGCAAAGCTTCACTCACCTATAACTTCTCCCAGCTTGAACCGCAGTCCTGAGACGAAGCAGACGCTGAGCTCATTCGGGTTCTGTCCCAGAGCCTGGAAACTTCTGAAGTCCTCTTCTGCTTTCTTGTCTTCAATACGGCGGCCCGGTCGACGCAAATTTCTCTCGGTCTTCTTCGCACCGATTCCTCGGTACTCACCGAGCCGGTTTCGACTCGACTTCAGGTCGTCTTCGCGATTTAGATCGGGATCACGATGGTCTCGGGAGTGAGGATGGGAACGATGATGTCCGTGATGTCCGTGATCGTGCCTCTCGTCGCCAGGGAGGAGTGAGCGTCGAAGACGGTTAGCTCGCCAGTTCTCTCCTTCTTCAGCTTGTTCATCTCGCTCGATTCGTCTTCCTCTACATTTCGCCCCAGACCCACCGGTGTCTCTTCTCTCTTGTTCGACGTCTTTTTGCGAATCTGATTTTGACGTTTCGCGCCTCAGGCGGCGACCAAACTCCGGAAACTCGTACTCTGTGAGGTCGATACTGTCGTCCTCCAGATCGTAGTCAAAGCTGACCACAGGAGCCGCCAGGGGTACCGCTGCTGGCACCGCGAGGAGCGGAGGCCCTTGCTCGAGTGGAGTAGCACTGTCGGACGTACTAGCGCTGGCTTCTTGGAATGTAGGGAAACTGGAGCGATCTGTGTTGCCTAGACTGGAGGGGGAGATGACGTCAAAGTTAGAAGGGGAGAAAGAGGAAAGACGACCTTGCGGAGATGTCGAGGGAAATCGAGAGCGGGGTCGAGGGATGGGGCTCGAGGAACTGAGAGACTGGAAGGCGGATAGCGGTCTCACCCGTCGTCGAAAAGAGGAGAACGTGGAAGCCTCCGGCTTGATTGTCGTGAGGTCGGGTTCACGCGAGCGCAGATCTTCGGAGCTTCTACCGGTGTCCGGTCTGACCGTAGACGGGAACAGCCTCTGCAGGCGATGTCTTGTAGTGGACAGGGTCTTCAGCTGTCGACGACTGGGACGAGATCCTAGTCTGCGAGGATCGGTGACGGGGACTGAGACCGTCTCCGGCTCGGCCGTGGTTTGCACCAGTTTGCTGGGCTCGGCGAGGGACAGAGGACGGATGCGGGGTCTCAGGATGGGGTGGTGGGTGGTTCGGAGAGGCTCAGAGTCAGGCTGATGGAACGAAGGCCGGGTGGTTTCCTCATCGTCATCTTCCTCCGATCGTAGCCTCTCCCGGACAGCCAAGA